ATACGATATTTGATTGGTTCTTTTGTATGTAAATATTTAAATCAACCATTTCGGTTCTTCGTAACAAAATTAGAATACTCATTTCAAGTTACATACAATGATGTTCTCTTTTCGCCATAGAACTCAGTTTTTTAAGTTTAAGTTTCATTAATTTAAAAAATTATATATAATTTACTTCTTTAGACAACGTTGGTAAGTTTAAATACACTTTTAAGGAGAAATACAATGTATATATACTATAAATATTAAAAAAACAAAAGAAAAAAAAATGGAAGCACTCATTCATATAGAACATAACGTGAGGAGTTACTTTTAGGGCATTTGTTTATTTATATATGCATATAACCATACACAAATTACCTAAAAGTAGTTTCTACCCATAACGTAATATAAAGTTCAGTGGACCCCCATATAATGCTTTCCTCTATAACAAATTATGGGTCAAGATTCATAAAATATGTTACTAACTTGGTTATTTTGGGTAAGATGGGAACTCTAAATGAGGGGTTTTCCATCCACCCAGAAATGTAGACCTCCTGTATGAGCAAAATATCAAAAGAATCATACTTGTATATGTGACTCTTCACAAGATATTCACTCCATAGGTTGGTTTTTATTTTGTACCAGTATACTGCCTATTCTCCATGCCCTTTGTCGATCAGGCAATGGATTGCTTGCACTGACTGACAAAGAGTGTGGAGAATAGCAGGCATGAACAATCAAGTGGACTACTCAAAGCTGGCATTGTTGCATGGGTTAAATAGTTAAACATGATAGCCTTAGCGGAGCAACGCAACTTGCGGTTGTGAACAACCTGATTTCGGGGGGACTGTATCTTGTGTAGAGGTATAATTCCTTTGACATTTTTGCTCCTATGGGTATAGTCTATGGCTCTGATAATGTCTTCTTCTTCAGAGGTGTAATTGTACTGTAAGGGGTTCACCATATTACAACACTTATGTGTAGTAATATATTTTTAAAACTCCTAATTCTACAAATATAAATCTATTTGTGTATCTATTATTATTAAATGGATTATTTTGATAATTTTCAGCAGTAAACATAGATATATAAAAATGTTTATTATTTGTAAACATTTTTAAGATTAAAAATGTTGTAAGATCAAATATTTCAGAAATGTTTTTTTTATTTTTAATAGAAATTGAAACCTCAAATATAGAAGTCATTAATTAATTAAAATATAACTATTGGAGTAGCATTAAAAAAATAAGTTTTGTCATCGTGTTGAGACAATAAAAATTTCCAATTTATTGACTAATTTTACAATATATCTAAAAGAATGTTTTCTTAATGTTGTATTGTGAATGTGATTGTGATTTAATAGTTCTTAAGATAGTTCACAGAACAACTATAATTAATTTTTACATTGTTTCATTCTGTGTAACTTTTAATTTGGAAGGGCATCTCATGAAGGATTGTTCTTGACTCAGGAATCTTTTGCAAGTGTTTGCTTGTATAAGAATGGCCTATAATCTTAGCAGATGCTAGAAGTGCCTGGCAGATATAAAATTTCATTTTTTTTTTAAATAAAATAAAATTTAAAACTTTCAAATATATTTCAAGTATTATTCTTCAGTAATGCATTATTTTTGCATATGTCTGTGTAGTTGACATTGTTCTTCTTTTATTTTTTATATCTCTACTTAATTAATTCAATTACTGAAACTGAGTATACATAAATAAACACTATGCATATAACTAATATCCAGCTAATAATAATTTTTTTCTTGTAGTTTTTGTCCATAGTTAGCCTGACAATACCCATTCAATACAGATGAAAACATTTGCTTTCTTGTAGTTTTTATTGCTGGATATTGGTGTAGTGTTTATCTAACTAATTATCTTTTAAATAGAAAAATCAATGTATAAAATAATTTAAAATATTACATATAATTTTCAAATATAAAAAAATTTCAAAAAATTTATATCAACAGTTGGAAGCACTTGATATCATAATTAAGTAATTCAAGATGATTGTTTAAAATTACCAATGATCAATAAAATTGCATTAATGAGGACTGTTATCATTTATAAATAGTTTGTTACAAATAAAAATTTTACAGATTATATTAGTAATTAACTGTTGCATTGTTTTACAGATCATCTAATCCATAAAATTCAGTTTTATTAATAAATGCTATTGATTATTATTTTTCTTAGTATTTCTGTATTTCTATGTAAAAATTTAGTTGATTGTCTGTGCCCTCTATATTTGAAAAGTGATTACAAAGTTTTAATGTGTTATAATTAAATACTGTATATAGTTTGGCATTTAATTTTGGTATTTTATTACACTTTATTTTTTTCTTCTTTTATTATATTAGTTACCTTTATAAAATGTCATTCATTAAAATATATAATTAATGAATTATTATAAGTATGAAATGTTTATAATAATTTATTATATAGTTATATTGTAAAGTTAGTTATATATTTATATACCTGAGAAAATATTGGACCATGTGAAATATTTATTTAGATTTCAATATATTGTACAGAAAGTTTATTTAGAATTTCTAGGTTTATACATATTTTAAATGCTGTTCTAAACAAGTATATAGGGCCTATATATATATATATATATGTAAATACAGGAAATCTTTGTTAGTTCAAAATTCAAGTGACAAAATAATCATAACTTCAAATCTCGAGTTTTGAATTATCCAAGAATTACATATATCTGTACAATATGCCAAATGCCATGTAACTAATGTAATTTATTAAGCAAATAAAATATGGCTATGTATACTGAATGCTATTTTTGTTAATTAATAATTAATAATAATAATAATAATAATATTAAGGTGACCAATTTTTTACAATGAAAAGGAGGACACTAATAAATTGCAAGAAAAAATATCATAAATAAGAAACATTTTATTCATTGCAACAATAATACACTATAATAATCTCTACTGCATGCATAGGTGCCATGTCATGTTTCGATAAGAAGTAAACAAAGGCATTTGCATGCGCTCTCTCTCTCTCTCTCTCTCTCTCTCAAGGTCTCCTGTGCGAAGAGCATGCGTCTCATAATTGCATCTTGTCACACTGTACAGAGCCTTGATGAATCATCATGTTAAATACAAACACGTCATATCACATCACACACAACGGATTGGTTCGGCATTGATTGGATACGGAGATTTACAGATTAGTCTTCAAATATCGAAAAGGAGGACATGTAGGAGGACACTTTTTGAGGAAGGATAAAACTTACAAAAGGAGGACTGTCCTCTCTAAAGGAGGACAATTGGTCACCTTAATAATATAAATGTGAAGGTAAACAGTATGTGTTCAGTGAGAACCTCACAGGTTGCCAGATAGCTTTTATCAAAAGTAAAGCAGAATTCCTCAAAATGTAGCTCAAATTATTTTTAAAGTAGCCCAAAAAGTAGTAAGATGCCCAAATGTAATAGCCTAGAGCCCTACAAATATTGCAATCTGCTACTTGTAGCCCAAACACTGTAAGACTGGAATATATTTTATCATAAAAAAACAGCACACCTCTGAACCTTAAAAGTACAATTCCAGAATAGTTTAATGCAGATAACACAAACATTTACGATGTACATAGGAGATCTTCAGGTTAAAGCATTCTCAAATGGAACATACATTTTCAATCTAACTTGAGATGATTATTAATCTTGAAAAATAATAATAACTTTCTATAATTATATTATTACAAGAAACTATTAACAAACATTTTTACATAGTATTTGTTTATTTATTTACAAATTTATTAAAAATCAAAGTAGTTGTATGTATTATTTTTTTTTATATTCTACGTTTTTGTAAGTACAGGATGTCTCACATAAAATCAATCCCACTCAATGGAAACAATACAAATGAATTTAGGCTTTCATTAAAAACTTTATTTTAATGTTATTTAAATATACAGAAATTTACAGATGATGCTGAAAATGGTATCCTTGTGCATCTATGCACCTTTGTGCACATGTAATTGTATTCAGACTGACCTTATATAGAATAGTGATGTTGATTACATCAAATATTTCTGCAAATGCTTTCCTTTACTTTGCATATAGTTCTGAGATTGTTTTCATACACTTTTTTCCTTAAATATTGTCAGAAGTATGAGTCACATGACAACAAATCTGGAGAATGAAGTAGCCTCAATCCTTTGCTTTCTGTGAATTTCCCTGTGCATGCATCAAGAAGTCAATAAGTGATGAGATGTGTGGAATGTGGCAGAATTGTGTTGTAAAAAGCAGTTTTCTTTCTCATTTTTTTTGTAAGCTGGGAATAGATGGTTTTAAAAATCTGAAGATAGACTTCTGTGTTGATTGTGATTGTGATATTGAAAAATGGGTTGATTTTAAGTGGGACATCCTGTGTTATGTAGAAATAATTTCATGAAAGAAAGTTGTAATAATTTGATATCAAATAATGAAATACTAATTAATATAGTTTAANTATTTAAGCATATGTAGATCGCCTCCAGCCATCTGAGATGGTTCATGCGGTGGGTGGTGTGTACGACCTTTGCTTGAGAGAATATGGGTTTTATGTTTGGGTCCGACGAGTATACGGCCAGAGCCATGTTGGTTCTTTCATGGTAAATATCTGCTTTATGTTCTTTGATTCGGGTTTTGAGGGGGTGTTTGGTTGATCCTATGTAGACCATGTTTCTGTTACAACTGTGATCAATGATAGAGATAATGTAGATGCCTGGAAGTTTATTTCTGTCTGGGGTATCTTTTCCATTTCTTAAAAAATTGAAAATCATAGCATGTCTTCTAAAAGTAATTCGGATATTCTTTTTTCCTAGCAATCTCAGTGTATATGGATTTTAGTACTGGATTATATGTGATTGGGATGTTGTTACTTGGAGTATTGTTGGTTAGTTGGTTATGATTTACTTTTTGAGGTTGTATTTTTTTGTCATTAACCGATAGTATTATTTTCAGTTTTCAATTAATAATTTTATTTTTTTTTTTTAATACTATACAAGATTAAGTCAATGCAAGCAGAAGTAGCAATGGAAGAAATGGTTCAAATGGCTGAAAAACAGGGAATATCAGATGGTCAAAGAGAGAGAGAATTGTTAGAGCAAATTAATGATCTGAAATATCAATTAGAATCTCAGAAAGTAATTATAAGTATTTTTTGTTAATGTTTTTTTATATTTATACCAAACAAATTATAAATCATAATTTAATTTTTAAATTATAGAGTCTTAGTGAAAACAGTTATACAAAACAATTACAAGAAGAAATTGTAGATCTGGAGAAAGAAAATAATATCTTACGAAATAAACTTCAGGATAATCAAGAAGAAATACTTGGCCTTACAAACAATGTGAAAAAAGTAATTTACATCTTTATGTATGACCTCTATATATATATGTTATATAATATATAATTTATTTAAAAATACAATAAATATTTATGTTAATTTGTTATAATTATTCTGCAAGGAAAAGGAACTAGTAAAACAATTACAAAGGGAAAATAGTGATTTGAAATATGATGTAAGTTTGTTTTATGTATTAATACAGTTATTTAATAGTATAAATGATCAGGCCTGGCCAACATGCAGCCCGTCATGTTAAATTGTGTGGCCTGCTAAGCAATTTTATATATCTATTAAAACTTTTGTTTCTCGTTATGTGTATACCATAAAAATTAAATAAATGAAAATTTGCATGTGTCATTGTTGTAATGTGCAAGTGCAACTATGAACACCAGTTCTATATTTGGTACTTGTGAATCTTTGACACAGATGGTGGTGCTGCCCTGGTGACCAACATCTCGACTAGTACCTGTATCCCCTAAAATGTGGCCCACTGTAATGTTACATGTCATCAAAGTGGCCCTTGAAACAATTTGAGTTGGCTAGGCCTGATATAGATTATGTACATAATTTCATTAATTATTCATAATTTTATAATTATTTGACAACTGAAAGTATACCATGATGCAAAAATTCTTAATATTGTCTATAAACTTGAACTTTAACATACTGTATTTTCTTTTTTTTAATGATTTAACATTATAGAATAGATCTGAATTTATCAGAAATGAACTTTAAGAAATGTTAAAAAAACAAAAATATATCAATAATAATTAGTTATCTTTTGATATTCCTCTGAAAATTTTTTATTATAGTAGGTAATTGATATTTTTATATATTTCTATATAATTATAACTTTTGACATTATTATACGTATTACAGATTCAGCAGTTTAAAGAAGAATTGTCTGAAGGCTGTCAAAAAATTGAACAGCTACAAGAAGTTACTGAAACTAAAAGTACAGATACATATAAAGATCTAACCCAGAAACTTTATGAGAAAAACCAACAAATAAATAAATTGTTTGATGAAGTGAAGGTATTATTAGAAATTAATAAAATATATAAAAATAGTGTAAATTTAAATAAATTCAATGGTAGAATATCTACACCGGAGTACTGTAAAAATGTACGTATCTATAAGCCTTTTACTGGTGCGCATATCATCATACTATACAATAAAGTTACAAACGTTTTCGAACCGTTACGGTTCTACTTCAGGTAACAACCCCCTAATGGAATGTACTTCGATTCAAAGTTGTTATGAAATACAATCCAGAACATTGTCTTGACCCAATGACGTCATTACGGACTTATGCACTGTGCATGCTGTGTTCTATCTTAGAGTTTTGTCTATAGGGCCTGCCAGGCCGTCAATAGAGCGGTTTCCTCCTTGTAGTTAATGCAATTATGCTCTTTAATAGTATTTAAGCATATGTAGATCGCCTCCAGCCATCTGAGATGGTTCATGCGGTGGGTGGTGTGTACGACCTTTGCTTGAGAGAATATGGGTTTTATGTTTGGGTCCGACGAGTATACGGCCAGAGCCATGTTGGTTCTTTCATGGTAAATATCTGCTTTATGTTCTTTGATTCGGGTTTTGAGGGGGTGTTTGGTTGATCCTATGTAGACCATGTTTCTGTTACAACTGTGATCAATGATAGAGATAATGTAGATGCCTGGAAGTTTATTTCTGTCTGGGGTATCTTTTCCATTTCTTAAAAAATTGAAAATCATAGCATGTCTTCTAAAAGTAATTCGGATATTCTTTTTTCCTAGCAATCTCAGTGTATATGGATTTTAGTACTGGATTATATGTGATTGGGATGTTGTTACTTGGAGTATTGTTGGTTAGTTGGTTATGATTTACTTTTTGAGGTTGTATTTTTTTGTTCAGTTTACTTATTAGCCCGTGGTAACTGTGCTGTTTGGATATATATTCTATCCAAATATATGCATTTCATTTTGGACCAGATTGCTGTTTGGGAAGAGGAGTTCATATGTGCTCTCTTGATCAAAGTTTTGAAAGCTGAGACTTTGTATTGTGGAGGGTCACAGGATCCTGCTGGTATATATAAACACTCTGCACTCCGTTTGTGATAAACTGCTATGTGGACGGTTGTTCCCTCAACCTTAATGTTAATGTCCAAGAAGTGAGCTTCTGTAGGGTATGTCTGGTCTATTTCTATAGTTAAGCCATATAGATTGTCATTGATATCATCAACCAGTGCAGAAATGTTCAGCTTGTCTTTCCATAGGATTAGAATATCATCTATATACCGCTTATATAATAGGATGTTGGGGAGATGTTTTGGGATAAATTCCGATTCCAGTTTTCTCACTACCATTTCACACAGGTCTCCTGCGATGGGGCTGCCCATTGGGACCCCTCTTTGTTGCTCATACATTATTCCTTTGAACCAGAAGGAGTTGTGACAAAGCAAATGCACCATTTCAAGGATGTGTTGGTGCAATGTGTTATCTTTTATGATGTTAAACAGGGTATCCCTGATGGCGCAAAATACTGGTGGAAGTTTAATAGATGGGTACAGTGATTTAAAATCTAAGACCGTAATGAAACTAGGAGGCGTTAGAACCATAATGGTTCAAAAACGTTTGTAAATTTATTTTATNTTTAAATATATAAACTTTTTGTTTATTCTACAGTTCTGAGTAATGAAACTTATTATGGTACAAGAGGCCCAGTTAGTCCATTAAATTAAGGAATTTAATGGTCTAATTGGGAAAGGGTTTCTAGTATTGCCAAAACTTTGTTAAATCTAATGTATTTTGAATAAATATATTAACAATGAACTTATAATATGTAGGATGTGTTAAAATTATACATTTGTAGGATGTGTTAAAATTATATATTTTGTAAGTGTGAATAAAATATTATAATGTACATTGAGTAATTTATACTCATCGATTCAACATTTTAGCCTGCTTTATTTGTGAATAAAAAAATTTTAATTTTTTTTGTTTTAAATCTAGTCAGTTAAATCAAGACCAACTGTGTTAGTATTTTTATTAATAACAACATTTTTATAGTTTAATTTTATTGTTAACTTTTCTCATTTTGTTAATATATCTTGGATATTTTAAAACAAAAAGAATGTTTAACAAAATATTAAATTCTCTGCAATAGAAAAAATTAATCCAATGCATAATTTAATAGAAAAAAAATTTATAATTGATTATTTATTAAAAAACTAATAAGTATTTTTTTAACAGATTAAAAATTAAACTTTTGCATCTATTATTATTATTATTATTATTATGAAATGAATAATATAATAAACGTATACAGTGGTGCATTTAAAAATATGACACACCAGCTTATAACATGCCGGTACTCCCGTAAACTAATAATACCACTTTTGCACTGAATGATTCAGTTTTATAATTTTAATTCTGCAATAACTGTATATTTACAGATTTTTAAATATTGAAAGGGCAAAAAATACTGTTGTTCAAAATGCATCATTAGTAGTATCATTGTGTTTATGTAAAATATATGAATATATTTTGATTGATATTTTGAGTGATTCTTATTCTTCTTCAAGATCACCTTCTTGATTATGAATTTAGAATTTAAAATCCTTATCATTGGTGCAGGACAAGTCCTAAATATTTAAGCATGAGCTTAAAGAAGAATAGTTATATAAAGACAATAGTTTAAAGAAGTCTTATATGAACAGTTGAAAACAAAGTGGTGTAAGTTAGTTTTTCCAAAAAACTATATTGCTACTGAGTTTCAGTTCCTGACAGCATTATTTACTTATTTGTTGTAAAGAAATAGGAATATTAAATATTCCTGTAGATGAAAAGTGACTTAGATCACTTTCAATGGTTCATACAAATATTGCTGAACTGATATGTCTTATTTTGTCCCTAGTTAAGTTTATAATTTGCACTAATTCCTTTATGAATTGTTTCTTGTTATAAGATTATTTTTTCATTATTATTATTATTTTGATTTTTTGCACCCCAAACTCTTGCACCTCTATGTTCAAGCCTAATAGATCTAATGGAAAATCTGTCACTTCATATATAGTGTTTAGGAAAACAGTTTCATTAAAAAACATCAAGAAATAGCATCAAATGCTTAAGACCCTAGCTTAATATAAAATTACATTGTAAAAAGAAGACAATGTGACAACATTCCTGCTAAATATACAACTAAAAACAAAATAAATTTTAAATATTTTAAAATTGTTACTATATGGAAATATTACTACTTATAGAATGTTTCTCTTTTGTATGATTTGAAATAACAATTTTTTATGCATCACAGCTTGGTTATATGAATAACAAGATAATGAAAATTATTCACTGATAAGACCTTATTTTATATATTCTGATTGTACACATAACATGATTATTTTGGGCACAGAAAATCTGATTTTTCTTTCAGATGAAGAGTCAAAAAACTGAAACATGACACACAAGAAATATGAAGTTTGAAAAGTTACATATACTGTAATAATCAGATCTTTCATCTCTGTTGAGCAAACTATTTAGGACATTTTGTACCTGAATATGTTTAAATTTTTACTTACAGTAATACCCTGAACTTACGCAATAGGTGGGACCGAGCGATAACCGCGTAAGTCGAATTTGTGTAACTCGGGGTATAATTTCTCAATTTGTGTAAAATCCAAGTCAGATGTATGTAAGCTAATAAATGTTCTCGTTAATCTTATCTCGTCTTTTGATTCGTTCACAGTTACAAGAAATCACCACATAGAGTCTCTCAAGTCTCCGTAGATATAACAAACACAGAAATAAATAACACAAAATAAATTGTAGCTATGTGTCAATTCCGTGCGACACGTCCTAACATGTAAGCTTAACAATAGTGTGTGGGGAGTGAGTAATCAAGAGTTGCGTGGCGCTCAAACAAAAGATTTGAAAATCGCGTAACTCCGGGTTCGCGTAAGTCGAGGTATTACTGTATTTAATAATTACAAGGTTTTTAATTATTTAACAAGTAATAATTTCTAGTTGAATATTTCATCGTTACTTTGGTTTGTTGGCATTTATAAATTTTTTTAATGACGTAATTCAAGAATATTCTGTAAATTTGTTTTCTTCACGTAATTTTGTTTTTCTATTATTTTGTTAATTTTCTATTGGCCATTAATATGTCTCAAACCCAAACTTATCATAATGACCACAAATGACTTTAAGGTAACTGTGTGTTTTGGTTAGTTATGCAATGGATGAAGTGGATACTGGTGTAAAACATTTTTTGGGAGTTCAGTTGTTGGAAAGCATTGGAAATTTATGAAAACTTTTTATGCATTAAGGGAATAATAGAAGTTCTATTATGGAATCCAAACTAAAGTTAAAAAATTTTTATCTATATTTTACCTGTTTTTATTAAAAAAGGGTGTGGAATTTTTAGCAGTTAACATAATATTGTACCCAACTGATTGAAGGCGAATTTATATATCTGAAATGCATATTGGAGTCAATAAAAATGAAATGAAAAAACAGTTACCTTAAAGTCATTTGTTGTTGTTATGAGTTTGGGTTTGAGGCATATTAATAGCCAATAGAAAATTAACATAATCATCCAAACAAGAAGCAAATTATACTACTATTTTTATTTTGTTGGTTTCTTTTTAGTTGATTACATCATGAATACTTCTGTACTTAACACTTTAAAAGCATTGATGACTTGAACTGCAACATTATATATAATATATTTAAATTAATAACACTATAAAGTGCTGGTAACATCGGAGTTTTTCTTCAACCAATAAAAGTAAAACTTATCAATGTCTTAAGAAATAAGAAATTTGATATTTTTTAAAAATCATAAGCATATTTATAATTATATTATCTCTTCAGAATATTCAATAATGCTTAGTATTGTGTAGAATTCTGTAATGCATAAAACATTCATGGTAACTATGATACTGATATATTTTCTGCTTTGCTAAGTAAATTGTATAATTGTAAGAATAGGAAATATTAAACATACTGTGTAATCAAATTTCTTTTTCTTGTATTGAAATGAATCCTATTTTGATTGATTATGAACTGTATATTATTTGATTCTCTGTGATATATTTGATACACTTGAGTTTTTGACGGATAAAAATGAACATTTCTAGACTTAGAACAAGCAAGTCATAAAATATGAATTGTTTTATACATATGTGGCTCATTTTAAAAATGATAGAAATTCCATGAATTTTGTTCTCGTTTCTGTAATGTGCTAGTGTATAACTATAACATATGTATTCAAACTTGAAAATATAATTACTAAATTGTTTATTGTCGTAAAAAATAAATGAAAAATGTATACGGAATTCATTTTAATGCAAAAAATTTCAGAGGGCTGATTCTTTGAATAATTTCAGTCATAAAACATATATTCAAAACGGCATAGTTATAAAGTTACCATATGTTTAATTAATATGTGGCCACATGTGCCAATCAGTGTGGCAGAGAATATTCTTTGCTGATCAATGAACTTTTATAGTCAAAATTATTCAAAGAATCAACCCCAAAAATTTTCACATAAAAAATGAATCACTGTGTATATGGATTGTACAAATGAAAGTAATACTCTTGTATTAGTAAAGCAGAGCTTTGTATTTGCACCAATAGATGGCATTGTATGTCAAGAAGCAAGCTATCATCATTGAAAATTGCTACTTTAATGTGCTGTTTGCATTTGCTGAAGCAAGTTGACTATGTATGGTCATGACATGCATACTGCACTATATTATACAAATAGCCATCAAGATTAATTGACCCAGTATGATGTGAAAGGAGTTATTCTATTACATGACAATGCACACCTGCATTTGGCAACAGTGTGCCACAGTTTGCTGTGGCGCTTCTGCTGAAAGGTCCTTGACCATCCTCCTATAGCCTCCATCCTACCCTTGCGTTGTGACTACCACATCTTTGGGCCATTGAAAAAAGCTCACTGGGCCACTGGTTCACTATTGATGCTGAGCTCACTGAAGTCTGGTTCCACAGTGAATAACAGATACAAGGTCTGTTCAAAAAGTACCGGACCTTTGGTCGGCAAAAATAAATTTATTGACTTTGAGGTACAAAACCCTTCAAAGTAGTCTCCTTGATAATGTATACACTTCTCCCAGTGTTCCTGCCATTGCTGGAAACACTGTTGGAACACATCTTTTGGAATGGCCATCAGCCGGTCCGTCGGATTCCGTACGATGTCTTCTCTCGACTAAATTCGGGTTCCTTTTAGCGGCATTTTCAGCTTGGGAAATAGCCAAAGGTCACACGGAGCCATGTGGGGAGAGTACGGAGCGTGACGAACCACAGGAGTGTTGTGTTTGGCGACGAAAGCCCGAATCAGATGCGCAGAATGGGCGGATGCGTTATCACGATGGAGCTGCCAAGTTTTGATCGACCACAGATCCGATCGTTTGTGTCACACAGCATCGGAAAGACGACAAAGGACCTCCTGGAAGTACTCTTTTGCGATGATTTGGCCTTGTGGTGCGTACTCATGACACACCACTCCACGAGAGTCGAAAGAACTGTCAACATGACCTTTGATATTGCTGCGGACCTGCCGCGCTTTTTTTGGCCTCGAGGATCGTCTCCGAAAGCCTGCTGAATCTTGTGAGTGGTTTACGCTTGGGTATCGCCAAGGTTTTTGGCAAAATTTGATGTAATATCGCTGCTCACGTTGTTCAGTCATTTTCCAGCTTAATGAAATCCGATGAGAGCGCACTACATGACCTCACTCATAGGCCGATTGCCAACGACTGACGCTTCCTGCAGGCGGGAAAAAATTCAGGGCTGTGCATGACTGTCCCCTCTACAACTTCACCAAAAGAGGCCTGTTGCGCATTATTGGTTTACGTGGAAAAAAAAAAGGTCCGATACTTTTTGAACAGACCTTGTATTCCTTGCCCAGGGTATCCAAAATCTAGTGATGCACTGGGACACTTGCTTGAATTGGCAAAGTGATTATGTGTAGTGGATATGTAGCCTATATATCATTATTACTTCCTATATGTTCACATATAGGAAGTAATAATGATATAAACCAATAAACCATTATAGAAAAAAAAACAAAATTCTCACTTTGATTTGTGCAACCTTTATATATATATATAAGTAATTTTTCTTATTTTTCACTAATAATTACAATTTCGTTTTAGGAATTTGAGAACAGAAATGAAAATCTTCAACAGCAAGTAAATAATCTTCAAGAAAAACTTGAAGATGCCGTTCAACAGATAGAGAAAATGACAAATGAATACATCAAATTAAAAGTAATTGAATTATCAAAATAATAGTTTTTAAATATTTAACATTAAGTTAAATTATACATTTATGAGGAATAAACTAAAGTGTAAATATTCAATTCAATTCAATTCTTTATTGTATGAACTGAACCTTAGTTCATTACAAGGGGTTAAAATATTACTTAAAAACTAAAGTTAGTACAGTTTATCAAATTAATATAATAGCTTAGTATCTCACAATAAAACAATAATAATCATAAAGTGTTAAATATTTAAGGATTAAGATTTATTTCATTGTATAAATATAACTAATGTTTAGTTATTTTTTAAAATATTACTAGATAGCTTTTCTTTTCTTTCATTAATAAAATATTAATTTGTAAAATTCAAGTTTTTTGGAAATTTTAGATTATATTTATAATTTATCATTTATTCTATCAAAAAATTAACCATAATGTAGAGAAATTTTATGTAATATATTTATAATGTTTATATGTTATTTTATATCATTGAAGAGTTATATTTACTTTTTTAAAATATTTGAATTTGAATAAGAGCAGCCATAAAATCTATAAAATAATCTGTTTTAAAAAATGTTTTCTACATTGATTTTATGTTTTTGTTATATTAAAACATACTTATTATTTAACAAACTTAAAATATATTCAATCTGTAGATGATGGAAAAGTTCAGTCTATATAGATATTTTTTAATTAACGAATATATTTATATTTATTTTAAGATCAAGCATGATATATGTAATTTAACATTAAATTTTTATCAAAGATTAAGCTTGAATTACATATATTTGATTGCTTTTTCAATACAAACAAAAATCAAAGCAACATTAACCATACCCGACTAGTCCACTGTTGAAAAGTTAACAATTTAATAAATGTTTGATGTAACTATGAACTGTAATAAGAATGAATTTTAAATTTAACTGAATGATTAAATTTTTTTAAATATATAAACTTTTTGTTTATTCTACAGTTCTGAGTAATGAAACTTATTATGGTACAAGAGGCCCAGTTAGTCCATTAAATTAAGGAATTTAATGGTCTAATTGGGAAAGGGTTTCTAGTATTGCCAAAACTTTGTTAAATCTAATGTATTTTGAATAAATATATTAACAATGAACTTATAATATGTAGGATGTGTTAAAATTATACATTTGTAGGATGTGTTAAAATTATATATTTTGTAAGTGTGAATAAAATATTATAATGTACATTGAGTAATTTATACTCATCGATTCAACATTTTAGCCTGCTTTATTTGTGAATAAAAAAATTTTAATTTTTTTTGTTTTAAATCTAGTCAGTTAAATCAAGACCAACTGTGTTAGTATTTTTATTAATAACAACATTTTTATAGTTTAATTTTATTGTTAACTTTTCTCATTTTGTTAATATATCTTGGATATTTTAAAACAAAAAGAATGTTTAACAAAATATTAAATTCTCTGCAATAGAAAAAATTAATCCAATGCATAATTTAATAGAAAAAAAATTTATAATTGATTATTTATGGAAATCAAATATAATTAATGATTAGAATTCAAATATTTTCAAATTTAAAGAAGAGACTTCTAAATTAACTGATCAATATCAGAGCCTCACTGAAAAAATAAAGTATTTGACTTCAAAAAATTATAATTGTATAGTTATTAGATTGTATTTTTAATCTTTGTATTTATTATTGAGATCATCAACATTCACATTCAACTATAATATAGATTTAATCATTGATAATGAGAATATTAGAAACCATAGTATTTATTAATTTACATTTAAAGCCATTGCATAAATAATTTTTATTTGTTATAATAAATGAATATTATTTATTATGTAAATAGTTTTAAAATATTATAATTTTAATTTATTAATTATAAATTTCTAAACTTTATAAAATATATAATTTTAAAAGTTTTAAAGAATTTTTGATTAGTTATTAAGGTAAATTAAATGATTATATAAGAAATCTTGATAAGTATACTTTAGCTGGTCATACATTTTTCAATAATATGAAGAATGCAGATTCAATTTGCATTCAATGTAAGATATGATTGTTTTTAAAGCTGTATTTTGAAATTAAGCATGGAGTTTTTTTTTGCATTAGAATTTATATTTTATTGTTGTTTGCTTATTATTTAATCATTTTCATACAACAACTTTGAAATGTAAGTAAATAATATAGTTATAATGAGATTATTTACTTAGTGACAATATTATGTAATATATCATACATTGTTGTGTATTGGGTCTGCTACCGAAATTTGTGTGCTGATCTGGCAACACTTTGGCCAGCATTATGTTGAGCTGGCAACATCAGAAATGAACGGTATTGGTGCAGGCTTCTTTAACGGGTAGCAAACTTGGATTACATGTACTTCTCTACAGAACATTAAAACAGTCATCCGATTTATTAGTTAAATGTTTTCATTTTACTGTAGTATCAATACATTTTCTGATCCATAAGTGGTGGTTCAGATCCACCTCGATGAACCAGAAAATATATCGATAGCTACAGTAAAATGAAAACACTTAACTAATAAATCGAATGACTGTTTTAATGTTCTGTAGAGAAAATATGTAATCCAAGCATGCTACCCATTGAAGAAGCACGCGCCAATACCATTTGTTTCTGATGCTGCCAGTTCAACATAATGCTGACTGCAAGTGTTCCCAGATCAGCAGACAAATAAATTTGAGTAGCATACCCAATACACAACATACATAAATGTAAATAGAAATTTGAAATAATAATAATAATAATTTATTTTTTAAATTATTCATTTGTATGTTTTTTAATAGGAAATGTTTCATCAGTCACAAGCAGCAGTGCATGAACTTAAGAAAGAAAGAGATTATTATAAAAATGAGGTTGGTTTTTAATATATATATATATAAGAATGTAATCTAAATATATAAAATTACTTCTCCTGACTGAGTGAGTGAGTGATTGACTGATTGATTGATTCATCATCATTCAGAGCAAACCACTGAACCTAAAGAGGTGAAATTTTGTACAGAGTTAGGGTACATTATGAAAACGCACACTAAGAAGGGATTTTACGAAATTCCCCCATGGGGAGAGGGAAAGGATTAAGGCTTAACCTGAAGAACGGCTTCTACTGTACTATTTTAGATGAGATTTTTTGTTTTCAACAACATTTAGTCTTCATTGAGTACTTAGGTGTATTAAATTGATAACATTTCAGACATTGTTATAAATATCAATTTTTTAACCAAATGTTCAAACCGTTTTAAATTCAGATTTGTTATTGCATATTGGTTCAATTATAGAATGATTGTAAACGTTCCAGAAAATTGATCAAACTGAAAATAGTTCGTTTGATTCTCAGCAATTCTCATCATTCTCAGTAGTAGGTGTTATATAACAGTTACTATGGTTGTTGAAGTACTGAATATAAATGGGGTTTGCTTGCAAAATCCACACGTGCGAAGTCACGGGTAACAGCTAGTTTAATAATATAAATTTATTGGGCTGCAGTTTTCAAAAATTGCAGAACTTTAAATTGTAAACATTTTTATATTGGTTGACTTATTCAAAATTTGGGTGTCTGGGAAAATATATTTCTGGATTTGCTATTATCCTAGTCTCCAAATCTGGAGGAAGATGAAGATGCGATTTTACTCGATCTTGTCTTAAGAAAATTTATGGCAGTTTAAATTAAATATATATTAATCATTTTTCTTTTTATAATTTGTCTTTAATAAAATTTTTGAAATAATTAGCTGAAATCTAGGAAATGCTTTAGAAACAACTTTTCTACAAACTTGATCAGAAAATTTTCCATATTCATTATTGATCATTAATTAACTTATGCAAATAAATTATATATTATTATCTAAAGTTGTCACTAAAGCAATATATTATATTCTTGATAATTCTTTCTGAGATCTGTCTAAGATTTTTAATTGAATAAAAAATTATTTTAAAATAACTGTTTTGAATTTTAATATTTCTCAAATTTGCAGTTAAATTCATAAACAATAAATTTTAGTTGAAAATTATTTTTTTTAATATTATAATATATTAAATTAGTTTTCTCTAAAATATAAGCTCTTATAACATCAGTCAATAAAATAATTTAACTTTTAATTGATTAATTTCAAATGTATTGAGTAAAAAATAAAGTAGTAATATGTGAGACCCAGGATTTAAAAAGGCTGAGAATCGAATAATTTCTATTCATTTCAAACCAAAACGATTTTTTTTTAAAGTTAGGGTTAACTCAAAAAGGAAAAAACAACCGACAAATTTTCTCATAAAAATCGCTCATAAAAACTCCTTTCCCACCACAATACTTCCCTGTAGAAGATGAGTTAACTGTTGTGTCATATTTAGTCACTTCACCCACCATTGGTCAAAGAAGATCATCACCTATGACGTACAGGGAGAGATCTCGAGAAGATATCCCCCCATATAAAAGAAACTGTGAAACCACCGAGGGG